ATTGCATGATGTATTACAATATATTATTTAAATATTTCATTTGATTATTCATAATGTGTATTCATACATTGGATATAGAAGAATAATCCCATATTACAGACAATGAATGTTGGCACAGACAGTGGCTGTTATTATTTATTTCCTTTATATATATAATACCTCAGATGACTGTGTGACTCTCACTTTCAATATTGCAACTATTCTTAAAATAGAATACGTCGTTTCAGTGAGCATTGGAGTGTAATAAACGAATTTAGTGAAGTTTTCACAGTGGTTTTGTGAAATTCGCTGGAAACATACCCTTTTCATCTGTACCTTCCTTGATACCCATTAACCAACCTTGCTCCTAGAGTAATAAAATATTTTATTGTATTTATTATTATCACAACCGTCAATACTAACAATACTCTTACTATTATAAATGTAATAATAAAAGTATATGTTTATTTAGACCTGTGTGTATATGCATGAAAAAAATTGCTAATAAAATACAAACCTGTTCTTCTGGATCATCATACTCCACTACACGAATAATATCACCAACATCAAATGACAATTCATCTGCATCCTCACATCTATATTTGTAAGTAGCCTTGACTCTGTACAAAACCCCAGGTGGTAAGTTGTCAGTCGTTGCCCCTAGAGATAAATTGGTACCATTTTCATATTCCACCTCTAAAATAATTGAATCCGCTTCATTAGTCATGGACCTGTGATATAGTTTTGTTTAAATACTGACTTTCATTGGGTATGTACAAACCAAATTGCTAAAATCTTTTATTGAAAATTTTTAGGTATAACTGAGAGTCAGAATTAGAAAATCAAATTTGGTTTCATTGCTTCAACAAGACCATGCACAAATGAGCAAGCAACATACTTTTATTAATAAAACATTCTATGGTATACCAGTTTTATATATACAGGGTGATTCATACAACTAGAACAAGTCATATCTTTTCTCTAGTTAAATTAAAAAAAAAAACATGTTAAAGGAGAAAGACAAATGGTCTAAAAGGAACTACATTTTCAAGCTCGTGTTTTTTTTCACACATGCAAACATGCATATGCATTTTACAATTGTACCATATTTTTAAACAAAAACATTTTTTTTACATAATTTTTTTACATCGTTATTCTGCGTAAAAAAGTGTTATGGTAAAATAATCGAAAAATGATTAGTTCCTGAGATATTTTAAATAAATTATGTCTTCATTGAAGAAGCTTTAACGTTTCATTGCAACGTTGTAAGAATCTTTTTTAATAAAGACATTTATTTAAAATATCTCACAAATTAATCACTTTTCGACCATTTTACCTTAATACTTTTTCACGCAGAATAATGAAAGGATTTGATCTATGTAAAAATAAGATATATGTTTCTATTTAAAGAAATAGTGCAACGGTACAATACACATGCACCATTGCACATGCGAAAAAAATATGACCTTGAAAATGTAGTCTTCTTTGGATCATTTATGTTTTCCCTCAAATATGTTATTTTAAATACAATCAGAAAAGAGATACAACTTGTTCCAGTTGTGTGGATCACCCTGTATATGAACTTGTTATATGTTATACATTTCAAAGTATAATTTGGAAAATTGTTTCATTTTTGGCTTTAAATAAACTTTAACATATGTTTTTAAAGCATAAAAGGTGTACACATACTTCATATATACTTATCCAAGTGTCAATAGAAAAATTGCTTAATACTAGAAGAAATTATTTCAACTGCAAATGAAATTCATTCAATGATACGTATTATTTTATAACATTCAGTTATATATTTAACTAGTAATGTAACTTTTAACCGCACATATATAAAACACTCCAAATTATACTCTAGGCAGTTTAAATTTAGTAAAGATTAGTTTAATAATACATTAAATGTATGTGTGTATGTACATGCGTGTGCGCGCGTTTTATTGACTTATGTAGAAAATCTCTTATCTCGCAAATCACTTCGTCAAAGAGTTCCAATCATCGATACGTTAATGTTTGCCTTTAGATTCGCAAACCGCGCAATCGGTGACATTTACTCCTACGTTACATACTTACCAACTGGAATATCGTACAATTCTTCTACTCGTTTAGATGCCGTAACTGTGCTTTGCGGAGGCACATCCTGGTTACTGAGGGAATTATCATTGCTGTTAGCATTGCTGTTAGCATTGCCATTTAATTGAGTAGTCGGTGATGTGTTTCTTGCTACCGGAGCAGAATCATCCACGGCTGTAACACGCAATAAAGCTCACTCAAAACTAAACATTTAGCCACATAATTATGTCTGCGGGAACGTCTTATGTGGCATAATTGCATTCTACTCATGCACGAAATATTAGTACACAAACGATTCAAACGCACAAAAGACGTACATATGTAAATATCATTTATTTAGCATATTTACCTGGTGAAACATTATTTTGAGCTGGTTGTGTGTTGATTATCAAACTGAAACGAGTAAAATTCATTCAATATCGTGTAATAGCCAACAGATAAATTACATAGAGTTTCAATGAATTTACTTACGAAGAGTTGGCATTAGGTGATTTCGGAGATTGTGGTTCGGTAGTTTTCTTGAGCGTATACGATCCTCTCTGGCTTTCATTAGCCAGCTTATCAACAATTGCTTCTAGTTCCGAATATACCTAGAATGTAAACGTATTCAATTAGAATTATTTGTACAAAAACATTGACAAATATTATAAGGGTGTCTCATCAACTTTGTCCACCTGAAATATCTGCATTACTTCAAGTAATAAGCGAAAGCATTAAAGTTGTATGGTTGCAAGAAAGCTATGACATAGTGGCAATAGTTTCTTTGCGGTTAGAGGTATAGAGGAGATCTGGACGTCAATTTAGTTTCTTTAAAAAGAATGTCCCATTTTTTCATATTTGTGGCTGTACCTCCTACGTTCCGCCGCCAGAGGGACGGACCATTGACCTTTCTCACTAGTCCTCGGCAAGGCTCTTATTAATACATATATATAAATCTTTTAACCTGATTTTAATTATTCTATGTAATCTTACTGTTGAGGGCTCCCATTAGAGAGGCCCAGAATCACGAAATCTTTCTTTCTCTTTCCTTTCTACTTACTACCTATCTTCTCTCTATTTATTTCCTCCTATAATCAACAACTGCCATCTACCAAAATGAGATAGAATAGCGAAATTAATAGAGTATAAAAAGTACTGCAATACATTTGTCCCCAAACTCTCACCTTTCCTGAGATATTCCATATTGTTTATCTTATTACTTTCACTATGAAACATGTTCTTTTGTGAAAAATATTGTATATCGAAAAATACCAATTGCATTCTGCAAGATATAATGCAGAAACGTGTTCTGGAATAGACTCCCAGACGATAAGACATGCAAGAGATTCAACGGTTCACAGATTACAACATTTGTATCGATGCACATGGTCGGCACTTCAAACATGTTTCATAATGACAATAATAGAACGTACAATGTCGAATATCTCAGGAACGGTGAGTTTTAAATGTACTTTGGTAGTTTTATACTTAGAATATATTATTCTACCTCACTTGAATATAAAAAATTTGACATTCCAATTAGAAAAATTAAAGTAACTTCCAGATCTCATCTACACATCCATCTGCAAAGAAACAGCTATTATAACATTGTATATGTATACTGTATAACAATATTGCCATCATGTTACATCTTTCTTGCAGCCATGCAACTTTTGTAAGTAATGTCCTATGACTTGAAATAATGGAGATATTTATGGTGGACAGAGTTGGTGGGATAACTTATAAAATATTATGCATATGCACATTCTTCTGTATATAGAATAGGACAGTTATATAGGGTGACTCACATAACTCATCCATGCCGAATAATTTTTGAAGTATGCGTTCTACAGAAAAGTGTTTTACATATAAATTGCACGGTAGCGAAGGGAACATATGATGCTGAAACGGTTTTTCTTAATTAATCTATTTACTTACGAGACACCAAGGTGCTTTGAATTTTTTAAATGGAATCCGTATATTTATTTGTATGGCATACACCTGTGCAATCTATTAATTAAGGACGGCAAGTGTCCACTTTTTTACCATTCTATAGTTTGATTTTAATTTTTCTCTTTACTAATTGTATAATTTATACAAAATTAAAATAATTTATAATTTTATTCTTTTTATATTTTATAATTTTCTTATTGAAATTTACTGCTCCTTGAAATTTTAATACAAGAAGGTACGCATTCCATTTAGAAAATTTAAGGTCATCGTGATATCCCGCAAACAAATAGATTATTTTAAAAAACTGTTTCAGTGTCAAATATTCTCTTCAATACCGTGCAATTTTTATATAAAGTACCTTTTTGTAGAACACATATTTTAAAAGTTATTCAGGGTGGACAAGTTATTTGACTCACCCTATATGTATACATTGTATCGTCAGAGAACCAGATACAGTAAATTCTCCACAAGTGTCAGTCCGCAAGGAAGCTAAACCTGACACTTGTAGAGTCAGGGACTACGTTTTCGAGCCTCGCGCCCGCCTTTGTAGTTTGCCGAACGTAGACAAGGACAGCGAATAAGAGATAAGGATGAAACGTGAGTCGAGGCAACCAAGCGATTTAAATATCAACTTTTTTAATTTTACGTTTTCTTATCC